ATTGGTTTTTTTTTTTTTTTTTTTTTTTTTTTTTTTAACCCCCCCCCCCCCATCATTTAATTAAGAAATTATTCATATACTGTATATGCAATAAATAAATAAATAGATTTGGGGATAAAATAAATGTATAAAATCAACAGAAAAAATATTTATTATTCACTGCATTATTGTTGTTATATATGAATATATTTCATTATTGTATGTATGAATTATATATATATATATATATATATATATATATATATATATATATATAGACATATATAATTATTTTGTGTTGATTTTAGGGGTGAAATGTGAGCGGATTCAGAGGGTTGAGGAGGTTCAGTTTTTAAAGGTATGAAAGCGAATCATTTCCACACTGAACGTCTGATTCAGAGCGAAGGTGAAGTCAATCACAGCAGAGCAACACACACACATACATTCGCACGCATGCACGCTCACTCACACGCATGCACACACTCACACACACGCACGCACACACACACACTTGCACACTCATAGTCTCACATGCACACACACACTCACAGACACGCGCACACACACTCACAGACACACACACACACACTCACTCACTCGCTCACACACTCACTCACTCGCTCACACACTCACAGATACACACACACACACTCACAGACACTCTCACACACACACACTCTCTCACACACACACACACCCTCACACACTCACAGACACTCTCACACACGCACACACACACGCACACGCACTCACTCACACACTCTCACACACGCACACACACACGCACACACACACACGCACACACACACACACGTGGAATAGCTGGACAGGTCAGACAGACAGGAAACAAACTAATCTGGATGGCTTGTGTTTCTGTTTGACTTTAAACCAAATCAAGACTGTTGAAGAGAATTTGTGAAAGAAAACAGCCAAACCAAACGCACACGTATGCTGAGATCTCTGATGAATCATCTGGAAAACACTGAGTTTTATTTTAACCTTCAAATATGTGTCTAATAAATATCTGATAAGGAATAATTTATTACAGACACTGAATTATTGTGCATTAAATTAATATACATTCAATAATTGAAAAATCACTGACCACATATACACATCTATATATTGTTTTTATCAATGCATTTTTGTGTAATTTACAGGGTCTTTATAGTTCATTTAAAACTAAAACCATAAAAATTGTGTTACTGGAAATAAAATACATGTTAAAGTAACTGCATTAAAATACCTACAACTGAAATTAAAATGAATGAAAATTATATAGAAATAAAAACAATTAAAACGACAATAAAATTACTCAAAGTAAAAGTATTATATTTCTATTTTAGTATTATAAATAGTAAAATTTAAATTTAAATGGTAAAAACAATTAAATTGCTAAACTTTAAAATTAAAATAAAACAACAACTAAATTATTAAAAATACAACTAAAATACGGAAACTTCAATTGAAATTAAAATGGAAAATCTAAAATTTAAAACGGCAAACAAACTAAACTAAATTACAAAAAAATGAACAAAAATTTAAATATAAAAATGAAAAATGAAATGGAAAAAACACAACTAAATTAAAACTTTAAATAAAATTAAAATGGAAAATTTTTTAATTAAAATTAAAATGGCAAAAACACAACTAAATTGCTAAAAAATTAAAATGAAATTTTTAAAATTGAAAACAAATTCAAATTATTAATAAAATCGATAATAGTATCATATATAATATATTATAATTTAATATAATATAATACAGTATTATATTATTCACATTTTCACAGATTCTGCAAGGGGTTCCCAAACTTCCGTATGCCCTAGAATAATGGTTTTCCAGATGAAGCGGCAGCGTCTCAGCGCCTGCGTGGCGTACCGTGATTGTTTGGTTCCCGGTGCAGGCCGAGCGAGTGATCATACGGCAGATTGAAGCGTCTCTGATGTTCACATACCTGCACTGGAAGGTCCAGATATTTATAGACCTGATCGTACATGTGGGGATCCTGCAACTACAAAACAAAATGACAAAAGAAGAACCAAGGACACAATTTAACACAGCGTAACACAATAGAACCGCAATGAAGGACAGTCCTGAGAAATATCTACAAAACACACATGAGAAATAATAAATAAAAAACAGAGATGCACAATGTAGCGTTGACCGTACTGGTATCGGCTGATTGCTAGCATTTTTGAAAAATAATATATAATAGACTATTAAAAATTATTGGTATGAACTGATTATTATTGGAAGCAGGAAAAAGCAAAAACACCCTCCCCCCCAAAAAGACAGACGGACGGACAGATGGATAGATAGAACGAAAGAACGATAGATAGATAGACAGACAGACAGATGGATAGATGGATGGAACGATAGATATAGATAGATAGATAGAACGAAAGAACGATAGATATAGATAGATACAGTGGGGAAAAAAAAGTATTTAGTCAGCCACCAATTGTTCAAGTTCTCCCACTTAAAAAGATGAGAGAGGCCTGTAATTTTCATCATAGGTATACCTCAACTATGAGAGACAAAATGAGAAAAAAAAATCCAGAAAATCACATTGTAGGATTTTTAAAGAATTTATTTGCAAATTATGGTGGAAAATAAGTATTTGGTCAGTAACAAAATTTCATCTCAATACTTTGTTATATACCCTTTGTTGGCAATGACAGAGGTCAAACGTTTTCTGTAAGTCTTCACAAGGTTTTCACACACTGTTGCTGGTATTTTGGCCCATTCCTCCATGCAGATCTCCTCTAGAGCAGTAATGTTTTGGGGCTGTCCCTGGGCAACACGGATTTTCAACTCCCTCCAAAGATTTTCTATGGGGTTGAGATCTGGAGACTGGCTAGGCCACTCCAGGACCTTGAAATGCTTCTTACGAAGCCACTCCTTCGTTGCCCGGGCGGTCTGTTTGGGATCATTGTCATGCTGAAAGACCCAGCCACGTTTCATCTTCAATGCCCTTGCTGATGGAAGGAGGTTTTCACTCAAAATCTCACGATACATGGCCCCATTCATTCTTTCGTTTACACGGATCAGAGCCCCAAAGCATGATGTTTCCACCCCCATGCTTCACAGTAGGTATGGTGTTCTTTGGATGCAACTCAGCATTCTTTCTCCTCCAAACACGACAAGTTGAGTTTTTACCAAAAAGTTATATTTTGGTTTCATCTGACCATATGACATTCTCCCAATCCTCTTCTGGATCATCCAAATGCTCTCTAGCAAACTTCAGACGGGCCTGGACATGTACTGGCTTAAGCAGGGGGACACATCTGGCACTGCAGGATTTGAGTCCCTGGCAGCGCAGTGTGTTACTGATGGTAGCCTTTGTTACTTTGGTCCCAGCTCTCTGCAGGTCATTCACTAGGTCCCCCCGTGTGGTTCTGGGATTTTTGCTCACAGTTCTTGTGATAATTTTGACCCCACGGGGTGAGATCTTGCATGGAGCCCCAGATCGAGGGAGATTATCAGTGATCTTGTATGTCTTCCATTTTCTAATAATTGCTCCCACAGTTGATTTCTTCACACCAAGCTGCTAACCTATTGCAGATTCAGTCTTCCCAGCCTGGTGCAGGTCTACAATTTTGTTTCTGGTGTCCTTTGACAGCTATTTGGTCTTGGCCATGGTGGAGTTTGAAGCATGACTGTTTGAGGTTGTGGACAGGTGTCTTCTATACTGATAACGAGTTCAAACAGATGCCATTAATACAGGTAACCAGTGGAGGACAGAGGAGCCTCTTAAAGAAGAAGTTACAGGTCTGTGAGAGACAGAAATCTTGCTTGTTTGTAGGTGACCAAATACTTATTTTACAGAGGAATTTACCAATTAATTCTTTAAAAATCCTACAATGTGATTTTCTAGACTTTTTTTCTCATTTTGTCTCTCATAGCTGAGGTATACCTATGATGAAAATTACAGGCCTCTCTCATCCTTTTAAGTGGGAGAACTTGCACAATTGGTGGCTGACTAAATACTTTTTTGCCCCACTGTATATAAGCAGCAGTCATTGCACCGTCCCAGCAACAATTCTTCCGGAATCCCTCCACCTCCCCATCTCCTCTATTTTTGTTATTCTCCCTCTATGTAGTACCGCAATGCGGGGGGGTTGAACTCGGAGCTCAAGCTGAGCCTCAGGTTCGAGCCTCCGTTGAGGAAAGGAAGCCAAATTCGTTTACCATTAACCATCAGGACTGGACAGACAGGTAAACTCGTAAAACAGACCTTTCGAGACTGACTGGAAAGAGAGGTGCTGCAATAACGTTAAACATCTGAAAAATAATGCGTTTTTGGAGCAATCAAGTATGAATACCTATTCTAGTACATCCCAAAAACCAAACCAAGACTTCTTAAAAGGGCATAATAGGATCCCTTCAACAAACTATTCTTTTGGCATTTTTAAGGTCCTATATGGTTCCATTGCAGAGATATGGGGATTTCAATGGGACTCCATGAGTAAATTTTAAAATTGTATTTCAGTGGTCAAAAACAAAATGTGGATCATTTGCTTACAAGCTGACACTTCTTCTTTTAGAATGTCTGAAGAACTAATAAAGTTGAAAATAGAAATGAATATTGTTTCTCAAATCAAAACAACTTTATAATAACTTTGGGAAAAATGTATTTCCATAAATGTTATATTAGAGTATTAGTGGAAAAACAGCACAGGTCATATGGTACTGGCAGTATCATATTGTTTATCTCAGTGAAACTGCACCCATTACAAAAACCAAGAACACATTATGTTTGCAATCCTCATGTGTTAATTTTGGTGGCTTCACATGAGCAATTCCACATATATTCTGTTAAACAGGAAAAAACAACGTGTGATTCACAACAGATGTTTTCTTTAGTATGTGACTTAATTCTAATTGCTCACATTAGTGAAGGTCAAACGATCATTCCTATAAATTGGTTGAAAACATTTAATGTTGCAGTTTCTAATAAAGTTCTCAGCCAACTGTTGTTTTACTTGCCAAATCTCATTTTTACTTTCATTTAGCATTTGGCAAGTGTTGGTTTTGGGCTCTGGGCATCTATTTCAGACACCGATCTGCTGATGCATTGAGATGAGACTTTCAGAGCCAGTGTTTCTCTGTTTAAGTCAAGACAAAAATCATATAAAAAATCATGTGCTACAGTGTTAACATCTGATGCTTTTCCACCACAGCCATTTTTAACTATTTACATTGTGATGTTATACATCCAAACCACCACAGATAGATCAAGTCCAATCAGTATAATCAAACACAGCTGGACTCAAATGAAGGTGTAGAACCATCTCAAGGATGATCAGAAGAAATGGACAGCACCTGAGTTAAATATATGAGTGTCACAGCAAAGGGTCTGAATACTTAGGACCATGTGATATTTCAGTTTTTCTTTTTTAATAAATCTGCAAAAATGTCAACAATTCTGTGTTTTTCTGTCAATATGGGGTGCTGTGTGTACATTAATGAGGAAAAAAAATTAACTTGAATGATTTTAGCAAATGGATGCAATATAACAAAGAGTGAAAAATTTAAGGGGGTCTGAATACCTCTTTCTATTTATAAATATTGTAAATACATTTATCATATATTGCAAAAAAAATGCACATTTGTAAAATTGTTTGTAAAATTTATAAATTAATACACACACACACACACATATATATATATATATATATATATATATATATATATATATAAACACACA